TATTTCTAAAAGAAGTATGCTGTCTTGAGGTTTAGAATAATCATTTTTTTAAAAGGTGAAATAAAGTACAGTTAATAATATATAGTATAACACATAATAATAATAATAGTATAACACATTCACACAATAAGAAACTCCTAACTTCCTAAAAGTTGTATTTCTAAATCGAAACATGTAACAAAAGGGTTCTTCCATTTTACTTGATGAGGAGGTATGTTTACATTACATTGCTTGTGTTTTTAAGGCAAGCCGCCACTTAGGACTTTTTTTAAATGAGAACATGAGTTCTCCATGAAGGGAGGAAATTGCTTAGGAAATACTAGAGAGACCAACAGTGATAACCTTCCTCTAATATATTTATCCTTTTACCTGCAACAATATCTAAAGACTTACTAAGGTCAAAGATGGTTTGGGAAATATTTTACCTAATCTATAAATGCTTGTAAACATTAAAGACTATGGTCACATAGAAAAAACTAACACCTGACTTTTCAATTTCAGCTTTTATCGTTATGTCTTAGAACCAGAGATTTCTTTCACTTCTGATAATAGCTTTGCTAAAGGTCCAATAGCAAAATTTTTGGACATGCCACAGTCTCCTCTGTTTACTCTGAATCTGAATACACCTGAAAGTTGGATGGTAGAATCTGTCAGAACACCATATGATCTTGACAATATTTATTTAGAAGAGGTAAGAGTGTCCTTGCATCCAAATTTTTTTCCTTTAAAAAAATGTATTTTATTGGGGGGTTCTTACAAATGTTATGACAATCCATCATTCAGTTGTATTAAGCACACTTGTACATATGTTGCCAATGAAACACACAGTATTCCTCTGGTTCCGTGAGGCTTCCTCACTCCCCACTATCATGCCCCAGTCCTGCCTTTCACTGCAGGTGACCAGAGCATGTGCACAGGTACAGGTAAGAGCTTACAACACATGAAATCCAGGAACAAGGATGGGAGTAGCAATACCAGAAGGCTAGTAGAAAAGTGGGAAGAGAAAGCGGGAAGGAAGGGGGAACTGATCACAATGATTGACACATAACCACTACCATCACCCCACTCCAGGGGACAAACAACAAAAACCATGGGTGAAGGGAGACTGCAGTCAGTGTAAGATATGAAAGTAATAATAATATATAATTTATCAAGGGATTATGAGGATAGGGGTGGGGAGGGAAAAA